GGCTGCTTTTGCACTATGACGGCAGAGTTGAGTAATTGCAACAAAGATTATATTATTATCTGGCCTTTTACAGAAAATGTTCATTAATCCCTGATTTAGAGTAAAACAAAGTTTTAATGTTTATTTGAAGGTCAGTGAATGACAGGATGGGAGAATATTTGAACTTGTACCCAAGACCATTGCTTTTGCTCTGTCTCTGCTGTTGGTTGCTATATGGATCCAAACAAGTCACATTAATGTTTCACAACTCAGGTTCTTCATTCATGAGAACAAATAAGCACACATACGAGAGAACTTCAAAAAGTACATGGAAAAATAGAATTAAAAGATAATATGAATCTTGCCATAAACTTTTTGAAACCCCCTCAAATAAAGTGATCGTAATTTTCAACTTACAAAATTAGTGTACACTTTAAGTAGAATAATGTGCATAAATGTGCTTGGTCAAATTTCAGTTACTAAGCAAATTTGGGGCACTAATCACTGACTGGGTTACCAGATCAATTCACTCATTTACCTTTTTGGTGACAAAGTCTGGTAACAAGTCTAAACTTGCTTTCTCAGGCTGGTTCTGGGCCCAGGCCAGTGCTGTGGCCTCCCTTAGCTGGCAATGGATAATTTCTCCCCAATTTGAGTCTTTAGAATAAAGAATTTGGTTATGGGATACAAGGAACCTATGATTAAATAATTACTTTCTTTTCTCTCTGAAGGGTCATCGTTAAAAAATAGTACTTTCCAGCCTGTGGCATTGATGCTGCATACTCAGCTGTACGGGGCCCTTTGCCAGCTGGCCTCTTTGAATCCATGAAACGCGGTCCTGCATTTTGTTGTCACAGTTTGTTCACTCCCTGACAATTTTGCATTTCTGTCCCAGGGCTCTGAGGTTCACTCCTTTGTATTTCTCCCTTCTTGCTGGGCTTTGACTCTTTTCTTTATTGGGTAGAACTTTCTCTTGTGTCTAATCTCACCTTTATCACATTTACTGCCTTAAAGGAAAAGAAAATAGCCCACAATTGCTTTTTTTTTTTCCTGAAAACTTAAGATCCTGATCCCTTCTCTCACCCCAGACCAAGCTATGAGAAGGAAACGCAGTTCTGTCTACAAAGCAATGGGTTTTTCTCTTACATGCAACACCCTCCATCCTGTTCTCCTGGATAGTGCAGTGTGGTTTCTCTATCATTACTCTGGGTGTCACACCAAGAAATTATTAAAAACCTGCGATTTTAGAGAAGAGGGGAATCATACAGATAAACCCTGTAGATAAAGTGTGACCAACGATGGCAGGAGACTTTTGGGAACCCAAAAGAAGAGGAAGAGCATGGCAGAGCTTCCCACATGTAAAGGTTCTTTAATAACTCTTCTGTCTGAGCTGTGTTATCACTTAGAAAAGGCAGAGGTTTCTGTTCTTCAGATTTGCAGTAAATAAAAAGTTTTTATTTTGTATCTGCTTATTACCAATTATGATTTTGACAGGTTATGAACATTATATTAGATTATTATTGTGTTATAAACATTTGGTTCCATTTTTCCAATGAATGTGGTAATACACAGATCACTCGATTAATCACACACTAAGCGCTAAAACTAAACAGCTCAGAAATATTTAAAATTCTGGCTGGAAAAGTCATTTACTCCAACAGATATGCATAAATATTTTTAAAAAAACAACAAAAAAGTGCTATTATGCTCGATCCCCTGAATTTATTGGCTGAAACTCCTCAAGGTCAACATTGGAAAGAAAATAGAGTTTCAGGTCATAAAGAAAAATTATCAGGCCTCCATAATCACATTTACACTGATATAGTATAAAAATGCAAAACAAAAAAACAAATATTTTCACATACCATGCCCCCCGCACCCCCACTCCAATATCTTTAATAGCTAAAATTATTTGCTATTCTGGTCAAATTGCTGAAGACAGTAACTTATAAAACTACCATAAACAATTAAATTTAGTTCTGTTCTGCTCTTCTCTTCGAGTCCCCTGAAATGGGAGGACACTCAGTAAATATTAATTTTCCATAGTAGTTCAGAAAACGGACTTTAGAATCAGACAGCCCTGGATTTAAATCCTAATTCTACCATTCATTATATGTGACCTTGGACACTCAAAACTTAACTTCTCTGTGCCTCTGTTTCTATATCTGCAAAATTAGGATCCTAATAGCAACCTGATAGCATTGCTATTGGATTAAATGAGATACATGTAGTCACAATGAAATATTATATTCATACAGTTGTCAAAATAAGTTAATTACAGCCATACCCAACAACATGAATGAATCTTGGCATTATAATATTAAATAAAAAGGGAAGTCCTTGGGGCCGGCCCGGTGGCGCACTGCTACAGTACGCCGCTTGGGAAGTGTGGTGGCACTCCCGCCGAGGGTTTGGATCCCACATACAGACCGGCCGCTCACTGGCTGAGCGAGGTGTGGGAGCAACACCGAGGGTTGCGATCCCGTAGCCGGTCCCGGTCCGGTACGGGCGCGACACTGAGGGTTGCGATCCATTGCCGGGCACGAAAAAAGACAAAAAAAAAAAAAAAAAAAAAAAAAAAAAGGAAAGCCCTAAAAGATAACTTACAATTACTTTTTTAATCAAGTTAAAAACAAGAAAAATAAAAAAAAAATTCTTTCCTATGAAAGGAAAGCAAGAGAATAATAAATACGGGGTTCAGGATCATGATTACCTCAGGGCAGAAAATCAGGGGATGAAATGGGGCTGGGGAACTACGTAGTTAGGTGTATATTATTGTCAAGGTCCTACACTTTGTTTAGAGTAGGAAATGACCTGTTTATTATTTTATTTAAAAATAGCTAAATAGAGTGGGGTATAAAAACAGTTTCATGAATAGTGACACTGAAAACAAAAATGCTTCAAGAAAAAATATCTCTGAAGAGAAATAAAACAGCAAAAGGCACGTGATGGTCTCTATGGTACTTTTGAATAAAAAATTCTATGAGCATTTTCAGGTTCGAAGATGCACTGAGTAACTAATGAATTAGGTGTAGTGACTGTTCCCCTAGTGGCTAGAAAGTGTTAGTGCAACTTTAGCAAAAGACTAGAATGCTGGGAATTATCTAATGATCTGGAAGCCTAGAGACTGCTTTCTCTCTCTCTTTGTCTCTCTCTCTCTCTTTGTCTCTCTCTCTCTCTCTTTGTCTCTCTCTCTCTCTCTCTCTCTCTGTCTCTCCATATCTGGTGCTGGTTAATGTCTCTCTGTATGATGGTCTCTGACTCTATTTCTCTTTGTCTCTTAAATCCTTTTAAATTTGTTCCTAGCATCTAGATGAAAATGATGTTGATGTCAGTGTACAAATATCTATGGATGAGATATTTGGGTAAGTAGGTTTATACACAATTGTAATAACAAACATCCTGTTGTTTCCAATTATTATTATGTAACACATTTGGATTTATAATGCTAAGAGATTTCTATCCCTTATGAATGCACCACTACAGAAAGTAGAAATAATAATTTATGTATGTAAACTCATAACCCCATGAAATAAATACTATTGGGAGCCCATTTTACAGAGAAAGAAATTGAGCCACCAAGGGATCATACAATAAACACAACTGAAGTTTGCACAACTGGACTGGGATTTGATCTAATCCCAAAGCTGAAGCCATTAATCAGTTTACTAAAGCAGCAATAAAGATGTAATAGAGAAAAAATACATTTCACAACATCCAGCCCACTAATTATCAGGATGCTTTATAAGGTATACGCTAAGTTCAGATAATGCAGAGGCAAGTATCTGCAGACTCTATCTCCCTGCAGTGGGGGTTAGGATGGGACAAGATGTGAAATAGCAAATCATCTAGGTGTTAGATTTTATACCGTATAACCTATTTGCCTTGACAAAACACTTTCATTTAACTTTCAATTTGATCTTGTCAATTAAATGGCAGAAGAGGAGGTTTTCAACCAAAACAGTGTACAGGTGTGTAATGCAGATAGTTTAGTGGGAAGTACTGTGGTCTTACCTTTGATGGTGCCTCTTCCTAGGTTATGCAGGTGAGCAAAGAGAGCCCAGCTATCTGGCAGAGGGAAGGTGAACACATGTGACTAAATTCTCTGACAGATTGCTGGATGATTGCGGGGCGGGTCACATTAATAAAACCTGGTCCTAGAAGGTTTTGAGAAGAAATAGTTGCTTGGTTCCAAGAAGTTCTTTCCTTCTTGGTTTTCCTCTTTCTCCTCTTCAAGATCTTTCATGCTGGAAAGCTTCCTGCCACCGAATTCATATTCTATAAGCCCAAAACCTCAGGCTGACACCAGCCAAAGCCCAACTAATCACAGCATTTAAAGGAGGGTTCAAGCACTGTAAACTAGCTTGGGCAATAAGGGAAAACATTCAAATGATAAACAGATTTTGAATAGATAACGTGTGAACAATAGAAACAAATGAGAAATGCTTCTTCATGGACATACAGTGAAAAAGAACACAGCTGTGTTGCTAAGGCGGCTTTATTCTACAATAGAATGATACCTGTAATATAGGAACCTCCTTTACTTTATTTCTTCCCTCCATAAATAGTTGACTTTTTATATGTAAAAATTATATTTCCTTTTGTTAGCATTAATGGCCTTCAATTAAATCATGTGCTTTTATCATATCAATTTATGGAAGTATTTTTAGCCACGTTATTTATAGAACATTTAGGTCTGTCTTTCAGAGTCTCCAGTAATCTTCAGTGTTTGCTGATCTGCTTTTAATTTATCAAAGTCCTCCCTAAACAGGCGCTGCACAAAACACACAAGCAGCAGAGATTTCCCCTACACAATGTGTATTTGATATGCTTAATGTTCATCTTTATACACACACAGACACTGGCATATAAGAAATGTGGAGGGTGTCTATAAATTCAAGGAAACATTTAAGTGCACAGTGATACATAGATACATGGGTATAATACTTTATGTACTTGATAAATTTTTCATCCCTATCATAAAGAAAGCTTTTTATCAACTTTGATTGTTTTTTTATTACCTTAAAGTATTGCAGTTGTTTCTCAGCATTCATTGTTCCTTCCTTTTCTTGTCTCAGACAGGAATTGAAGATGAAAAGCTCTGTATCTCTTAGCCACCCTTTCAGCTCTTTGATCCTGACCTCCAGCTGCCTTACCAGGCTTCCGCTTTCAGGAGAGAGCAGGTCACGTGGACCCGGCCCACTGTGCCCTGCCATTGTGTCCTGGATCTTCTCTCCTAGGGTTTTCTAATGCATCAGATTAAAAACACAAAACGAAAAAATAAAACAACAAAAAGCAAAACAAAAACACAGATTAGTTTAGGTACCAAAAACACATCACAGTTTGGTTGGTAACAAGAGCCACCTGGAAGTGTCCAGCTGTACCTGCCACCTCACTACTGACATTCAGTTCCCATTAGCTCGCTGTTCCATTTGGGATTTGAATTCTTGCACCGTGTGTGTTGTTCTGACTGCCAGTGGATGCTTAATAAGACCTCATGCACTTATAGTTTCCTTTAACAGAAAGGAGATTTGGCCCAAAAGTTCACATGGTCAGATAAAAATTCATTTGAATTTTCATGATGGGGGTTTACAGTAAAACATTTTCTGCATAAAATGTTCAGGAGATAGAAGTCTGAGTTTAATCAATATACGAAAGAGGCCAAGAGTAGATCGTGCATGGAGAATTTAATTCCTTTCTTTGTTTTGTGAACTACAATTCCTCAAGCCATATGACTGAGGGCTTTTAGAAGAGGTAGCCTCCTTGGTGCTGTTGTTGATTTTAACTGACTTGGAAATTGTTCAACCCCACAATTCTTTCCACTTAGCGTTTGTGGAGGATAGACTTTCTAATATAGGTGTTAAAATAATCCCCAAATCACTGTGCTAGAGGCTATTTTAGATTAACCACTATGGCATGAAGGTGTCATGGGGGAGAGCTGTTTTTTTTTTTTTTTTTCCTTTTGGTGGAAAGCACTCACGGAATCAATAGGATTTAATCTATAATGATGAATTAAACCTACAAAAATAAGCTTTAAAACACAAATAAAATTAAGTCAACAAACATTCATCTGTTGTGTAGTGTTCTGTAAATAGTATCTTTAGGAGATCGTAACAGAAAAATAGCCTTTCTTGGCAACCCCCTTGTATTTTCATGGTGCAAATATTGATAATTTGAAGACCCTCAGTGGAATCCAGATTTAGCTATTGTTTTTATGCTGTAACAAAAGTAGCAGCAGGAGGTGAAATCAATGCCCTTGGAGGGTAGGGTCACAAAAAAGAATTTATTGCCACTTTTTTGTTCTGGAACAGTTTGCAATCATAAATTCTTCATAAACAGAATACTTCAGAGAATGGTCCGTCTTCATAAATATACGACAGAGGACATCAATTTCATTTAATTCACAATTTGTGTCAGCACAGCAGATGCCAATGCCTGCCTTGATAGGGTTGTTTAATATGCAATTGAGACAGAGTAATATGCAGCACAGGGGACAAAATTTCACAGATTAAACTGTACGCACCACTGACATTTCATTCTAATGTATTTCCATTCCACACTGTTCACCTTAGATGAAAGTAATATTAAAAACCATATCCCTCTATTTTACTATTGTTAAAAGTTAAAATCCTTGTCTTTAATTTTTTTTTCATGCCAATTAAAATGTAATCATGCCAATTAAAACAGTATGCCTGGTGGTGTTAGTGTGGCACAGGTTTTGTTAAAATCTTCCCTCGCCCTACTATGTCCCCAAATCATGACAAAACTGCATATTGTATCTGAATTTTGTCAAAATGGCAACCATTTTTTAAAGTATCTGATTCATAAAGAATAGCTAAATATTGTTTCTTTTTTCAATATAACGTTGATCTAAAATTGTTGTTGAGGAAGCACTATACATGCCATACTTAAATAATTTTCTAAAAAAGATTATTGTTAGTTATTTATCAAATTAGCAATAGCTATATTAAAATACAAAGTAAAGAGACTATCACTTCATCAAGCACACAAAGTTGCTGTTCTCATCTATTTAGTAAACAACCTTTTAAAGTGTCATACATTAACCACATTTCTCCTTTCTGAGAATCAGTACAATTTGGTAAGTTCTGATTTAAATCACCATATTATGAGAGCCATTAATTACTATTAAAAAGCAATATAACAATAGGATAGAGTTAAAACTTTTAACATTTCAAGTTACTTTGCACAACTGCAGAATGTAGTGAATTTAGATGAGAAGCAAAGACTTAAACTTACAGTCTTTTAATCACTTAGATTAAGCATGGCATAAACTGAATACTGGCACTCCTCCAAGTCATCAAGGTACATGGAGAGCTTTTTATTCAAAATATTTTTGGAGTATTATTTCTTTTTTAAAAAAAAGTCTTAAGGCAGAAAAATGGAAGGCATGCAAAATTATGCTCCATAACTGACACCACCCATACTTAGCTGTTATAATTAATCATTTAGGTAATTGACAAATTCAGCTTACCCTTGATTTGAAGTGAAGGCAATTTAGGAGAGAAGCTGATAAAAAAATACAGTTTAACTTCTCTCTCTCAGCTGTCTTCCAACAAAAGGACAGAACTGTCTCCTGCACAGTGCCATCCTGGTCTCTGGGTAACAGAATCTCTATATTGCCTTTTTGCCAGATTCTTGCATCTCAGTCTTTGGCTGAGACCCAGCCCATCATTGCGTGAAATGAATTACATGAAACTTTTTTTTTTTTTCCTGGCTTTTGGTAAAAGTGAGCTGGAAATTGAGGCACAAAACACAGGCTGATTTAATTCTGCAATTCACATTTGGGTCAAATTTGCATCTTTGTTTTGGTGGCTTTAGTGTGACTTGAAAGCTGTAGTGACAACTCCACTTTTCATCTTAAGGGTACAGTAAATAGTTAAACAGTGGATGTCTCTAACATGTACCTTCAGAATAAATTCTATTAACGTTCATTCAAGCATGACAGTCAGTGTATATCAGATATACTGTATTATAGTTGACTTGGTGCATACCCATAATACATAGCATATTTTACTTACTTTTTTATGTATTAAAGAACCAAAATTATTAAAATCTGAGAGGAGACAAGCTCAGAATAAAAAAAAAATCAACAGAAGAGGAAAAGCAGTGTTTTCCCCATAATAGCATGAATAGCTTGTTTGAAATGTAGGTAGTGAATTGAAAGAGAGATATTTGTGCCTCAAATTAGAAATCAGACAGATAGAGTAGTTCACTACACAAAAAATGTACACATAACCTACAAACGGTAATAAAAATGCAAATACCCCAAGCAGTTCCCATTTTTCATTAATTGAATCCACTTTTTCAAGGAGATCATTTGGTAGTAAAACGCCACCTTTCTTCAAAGCTTCAACCTTACTAAGCAGCTCCATCTTTTTCAGGTGCCTGATGGACATTTCCACACTGTATCGCTAAAATGAAAAGAGAGAGAGATCATCAGGGAGAGAGGTGTTCTTAGAAAATCTTTGAGCACAGAGTTTGTGATGCTTATAGGTGTTATAAGTTTTCATTTCCAATAAATTTACAGGAGGCTAAATGTAAGTACCTTGAGTAGTTGAGGAATATTGCTGAAAACAGTTAAATATTCACATACACATACATGAACATCTAAGTTATTGCATTTAATTGACTAAGATTTATGTCTTTATAAACAAAAGTTTACACACACATTTGATCTTTAATTTAAATATTTAAAATATTCCAAATAGGAAAATACCAGGTCTAGGAGGATTTACTATTACAGTTAATTTTGGTCAACATTTGGCTCCAGGGTGCTGCCCACCTCTCATCTCTTCCCCCAAAACAAGTCTGAGTGGCACAAATAAAATTATCCATAAACGTTATATGACTTCCTCCATATCCTCTAAGTTCTACAAATTCTCATTTAACATTTCGTTTTCATTTTTCTTTTACTTAAAATCTCTGTTTGGGCTTGGAGAAAACATACATATAAAGGGGAAAAAAGAAAACCATTGCTTTGGGAATGGTTACAAACCTATGCTTCCTTATTGATTACTGTAAAATGTCCCCAAACATCAAAGTTGATTACAGAACCCTCTCCCTCAATACACACTGTATTTTAAAAAACTGCCATGTGAGTTTTTCCTAAAAGATGTTTTGCTGGAGATAATGTAAGTGCTATTTAATATGACAGTAACTATGGTGATTCTCTTCAAATAACTCTATTTGGATAACTTTACAGTTAGAAAATTCTATATTATAATGGCTATAAATGACTGTGGCCATATTTTTAAAATGTGCATGTAGAAACACCTCTGAGTAGAAAAACTAGAGTCCGGTTAAAATACTAAACATATTTTGCATTTTCCGCACATTTCCAAAATATAGTGGCAATTCCAAAACTTCTTTCTTTGAGGCACAAAAGTTAGGTCACTTAGTACCATAGTAGCATTGCTCCTTTGCTCTAAATGAGCAAGGTTGCCCTAAGATAAGCACCCTTATGAGATCCAATAGGAAAAACTTCTGTCTGGGCAAAGTAGCATATCAGCAAGTTCAAAATATGCCCAAGCACTTGGGTGATTTTATTCACCTTGAAAACATGATATTATATAAGATCCCAAACTAAAATACAATTGGAAGCAGCCTAAAAGAAAACAAGATGTGAAATCACTGTTTCAGTTGATAGATCTTCAGTATCTGCATGCATATGTTTGCATACTTTTAGTTTCATATTTTGATCTTTCATTTACACTAAACATGCACATCATTTGTATTATGTAAACTTCCCCAAATGTTAGTCATTTGTGGATCACAGAACAAAATGTTTTAAATGAGGTGATTTAAAGCATTTCATATTATTAATGAATGTTGATCAGGGTGTCAGAGTACCCAAAATTACATGAATATGCATAGTGAAGAAAATCAAGTGCCTTAGAGCACTTCCAGAATTTGGCCTGTGATATATGAGAAATTCTGATTGCATTTTCTAATGGCAGACAATTACCAGGACCACACTACTCCACCACTTAGAAAACATACTGTCCACTCGAGTTCTCTGGACTCAACACTCAACAAGTATTCTAGAAACCTAGATAGTGTTTTATTTGTTAGAGTAATGACTGGAGGAGAAGGCAATCTGCTTTACGCAATCAGATTCCCACCTAAAGACGATGTAGCTGATGAAGATTTACATAATTATTTTGATAAGATTTTGATACAATATTGGGGGAACCAGTATTTCAGGCAGGCAGAAGAAGCCTATTCAAATCTTTTACTTATGCCATGTGCATAAATCAACAGAGGGAGTCCTCTGGCTGTGCCACCTGGTAGTGGTTTCTACCAGTTATCACTTTTACTTGTGACAAGTTCATCCCCTCTCTTTACCCAACTTTGAATAGCTCCTACAGAGCAGATCATTCAAGAAAGAGAACAGTTTAGATGTGTCCCATAAAAATGACAATCTTGTAAAAATAAAAATATAAAAAACAATTCATTTAATTTTAGATGTAATAAAATAATTTTCTCTGCGAAATGTGGCATAAGAAGCCACTGCAATAGCTATTATAAAAGGTTATTACATTTAAAAAAAACTTGTCTTTATGTGTGCTCTCTGTCTTTGTCACCATGTAGCCTACTGTATAAACAGCCTGATGAAAGATGTGATTGATGGACAATGCCTTCAAACTATAAAAGCTAAGAGAATCCAGTTAATTGTTAGATGTATTGGTATGTGGATGAAAGGTACTAGAATGTCATGTAATTTAAGGTGAAAATATTTATTTTAATTTTTTGAAGCACTCTGAAGGTTGAATCTGATATGATTTAGGGCCTCAAGCTGTATGTCTAATAATGCCAGGAGGGTTATATTTTTGTTGATGCTAGTATGTTTTTGCTCTTCTCTCTCTAACATCTTTTTAGAAGCATTAGACGGGAGACTCAACTGCCAGCTCTATCAGTTCTTGGTCATCCTATCAAATAGGGCTATACTTTATCCTGTGGTGAGAAGATAATTTAATCTTCATATGCATTCCACCCACAGCAGTAAGTGAACAAAGGCTGCACCATTGTATTCTGTAGTCTGGAGATGTTATGATATAGATTGCTCTTCAATAGCCAAAAATGAGATTAGCAAAGTTAAAGTCAGATGGCTTTTCTTCAGTGCTAAGGTAAATAAGCATCCAGTATTTAATTTCCCCACACCACCTGCTGTGGGCCTCTCTGTCTAGTCAAAAATAAAATATACTCTATTGAAAGGGCATATTTACATTATTAAGTGTATTTGCTTGGTCAATTCAATTTTGATTAATGAAGCCTCCTAATAGATACGTGAATGATCTAAATTAAAGACACAGGCCACTACTAATCTAAATGCCACTACAATGTATATAAATATAAAGAAAACTTTTTTTAAAAAAAGTTAAAAATAACCACAAACACTAGCTCACTGTTTTCACTAAGATTTAAAGAAGTTTTAGAACATTCTCATTCAGTGCTTACTTTTTAAAAGCACACATGCTAAAATTGAATGATAAAACAAAGCCAGCAAAAATAAAGATTTCTGAGATAAATATACTTAGAAATGCATGAAGACTTGATTGAGATAACTTTTTTGACAGTTATGCTAAAGGCTTTTTTCCCCCCTAAAACCTTTTTTTGTTGTTGTTAAAAATCACACCGAAAATTCTGCCCAAATGGAGCCTGGAACAATGCCTTGAAACAGTGTTAATTGTCACCATGGAAACCAGAAGAATAAGCCATTTTGAAACTGGTATAGAAGGCACACATTGAGCAACTCAAGCATTTTCCTGCCTCCCTCAATGTTAAAGAACAAGATGCCTTGTCACTGTGAGGTCAGAGAAAGAAAGCATCATGAAAGGGTTGTAGATGCTCACTGTCTAGTAAATAAAAAAATAAAAAATAAACTGTACATAGCTAATGCTATAAGACTCTACCCAGTGAATCTTTTTGAAATAGAAAGATCATCAAAAGATGGCCAGGATTGGGGGGTGGCTTCCACCTAAGCAAAACTTCAGCGCTATATTATGCGAACCTTGCCCCCAAAGCTCCCTGGGAATTCTGCTGTTGTAATAAAACTTCAGAAGAGGAAAGAAAAAAGGCAGCATGATGGAATTCAAAATAATGCTCTAAAAGCACACAGAGAGATTAAGACATCCATTGTAAGACTTTTGTATGGTGCTTCTGTTGGTTATGCTGAAAAGAGACCAGACATGGCTGAACAGAGAGTGAAGCTTTGGCTACGAGAAACGCAAGAATTAAACCAAAGAATTTTCTTGATTATTAGAATAGGCCTGCTGTCAGAGTCTGTGTCATCAGGGTTTGAGTATTTACATCTTACGCCATATTACTTTTAACTGAGTTTCAGTTGACTTTATACTAAAAGAGTTACGACACAGAAAATGATTTAGTTATTAGAACGACAGGTTTGAATATCTTTCCTGGTGCAAATTAATACCACAAATACCTGTATACCCAACATGATCCCCTACCCCCACAACAGATAGAGAAAATACACTGAGAAAATAATATATGGCTTATTCAACCAACAAGAAAGCATTTGCTAGGAACACACCAAAGTACCAAACTAAAAGCAAAATTATAAGTGAAAATATTCATTTTTGCACAAAAATGCAGGAATGTTTCTATGACTCATGTGTTTTCTGGCTAGTGTTTTTGCCCTCCTCATTTGAGGCTTCGTGGTGGCCCCTCAAAAAGTCCATGCCTAATGCCATTCTGTGGTGAACAAAGAGTCTTTTTATATGAAAGTCGAGGGTCCACAGCTCAGCTGTACATGCGGAGTGCAGGACTCTGCTCGAGGCCAATGTCGCCTTTGCAGCAGCTCCTGCACTGCCTCCTTTCTCAGAAGACCAGTGTCCAGCATCTCATGATGCTTGTGATGCTTCACATGGACTCAGTATCACCAACACTTCAGGAAGATGTTCAAAACTGAAGAAGAGTGTTCAAGCCCAAGACAAATAATAGTCGTTATTTCTTGCAAACTCCTTGTTTTTTATCACTGGAATTTATGGTGAATAATTGCACAGAGAAATTATAAAGACTCCTACAATTGTCCTTGTAAATTAATAATAGGCTTTCTTGATTGGGATAAATTTGCTGCTGAGCCTTTGGAAAAATTAAAAAGTGCAATGTCATTTAAAATTGCCAGAACTCGCACAGCAAATTACATCTGAGGTTAAGAACTGAGTTTTCCCCACTCTTCAAGCTTATTCCATTTGCATGATCTGGAAATCACATTACATTGGCCATGTATTGTTAATTGGACATAGATTGCATTATCTTTAATATAAATCAAACTACAAATATTAAAATGAATTGCAAATTCCCTAATAGAAGATCATAAAACAATCTTTTCTAAAGTATCTCCCATTAATAATTTAATTCCAATTATATCACTCAGAAAACTTAAGTAGGA